TTCAAGACCGAGAAGTTGGAAATGGGACAACTTCTGTGGTTAATATATCAGTCAAGTGATCTAGCAGATAATGATGTATGGAAAGATAAAGGCACTGGTCAGCTTTCTATCAAATGTAAAGAGGGTGTTAACAAGGGCACAGGAGAATTCAAGCCAACAATTCTTGTTCGAAATGATGTATGTTTCTTCTAACTGTTTTTGCTTCTCGAAGTTGAGTTCAGTTTGAAATCTTAAGTTTGTAATGCATCTCTGATATTCTTTAGTTCTTTTTAGTGCAGTACCTTACCTTTCTATGTATAAATCTATGAAGGTGCTATCAACTCCTAACTTTGTTTAATTGTTTGTTGATTTTTTGAGTATTGATTAAATTTATCTAGGGGATACAGATAGTTGTTAATGGATCTATAGAACATGAGTTTCATATGATATTGATATGCCTTTATTACAGAGAAGATTCCAATATTTACCATGAAACAACTAAACATTATGCTGGTTCCTTTAGTTAAACAAAATTTCTTTGTTTGATATTTTGTATCATCTTCTGGCTACATTAAACAATTAAATAGTTATCATGAAGAATTCAAAACTGTAAAAGGAACTGCCTGCCTTTTTACTTTTTATCTTAAAAGAAATTTTGTTATTCATGTGAGAGTATTTTTTTTTTCCTTCTGTCTTATCTATGTTGCTCATGTTTTGTATTCAAATTATTCTGTTCAAGTAACCATTGTGGTTTCATAGGAACATCACCATAATCAACAAATAAACTCCTGATAATAGTTGAAATTGTAGAAGGTATCTTGGGTATGCGGACCTATAAATACGATAAAAAGCCTTATTCGGGAGATCCAAATCCTTAAAAAGAAAACATATGTCAATGCTTTGTTCGCCATGTCCTCATAATGTTAAGCCCTTGATCCTCCATTGAAGCTTGTTTTTATATCAAATATATCCTTGTTTATGATAGCACCTTTGCAAGTTTAGTGCTTGAGAGAATGGTTTCCCTGATTTTCTATGTCATACATGTTTGTTTTCTTGCTCTTTTTGGTTTTTATTCTACTTTCTACTACTATATGTCATTTACCTATCCTGGTTAGAAAAATCCTGCGCTCTTGTTAGTTTTACTTTAATCTGAATTTTTTTGGAACTGCACGTCATCCATAAAATTTTATTTAGTTGCTCCAATTTAGTGTACTAACATGCCACCTCAACTTAATGTTTCCAGGAGGATTTTTTACCAAGAATGCCAACCCCATGGAACATATATTTGAATTGTTCTTCTGGTGAGTTGTGTTCCTTTTATATGATGACTTTGAGAAGCCTTTGAATTGTTGTTTTACTTTTATAGTTATCTCTTTAACTAGGCCTTAATTCTTTGGACAACTGGCCCTGCTCATTATTTCCTTTCTATGAAAAAATTCCATATTGAGACTTTCCAATTCATTTTGATTTTTGTTTCTGTAGGCCCAAAAAATGTCATGACTAAAGAAAGAAAACTGTTGAGGTTTATCTTCTGCTTGGGAAGTTTCAGAGGCAAGAAAACTGTTGAGGTTCGATCTTCTGCTTGGGCAGTTTCAAAGGCAGCAAAAGCATTTTTGAGCAAATTGGATTATAACAAGAATTATTTTGTTCTAATCCAACACTTTTTCTTCTTATTTTTTTTTTTTAGCCCAATTGAACGGCTCTGAAGAACATTAAGAGTTTCAAGCACAAGAAATGACGGGAAAAAAAAAATTAGAAATTCACTTGGTTGAGTTTATTTTTTAGTTTCTTGTTGATAGGATTCACTTGGATTTGACTTGTTCAACGTAGTTAGATTTTTGGAAAGATCATAAATCATAACGATGAACTATTTATAAATGTCATTGAAAACTATTTGCGGCGGTAATAAGATGGTCGCTAATGCATTGTAAGGTGTTTTTTTTTTTTTTTTTGCGACGGCAAAACATCAGTTGCCATAAGTAAGTTAGGTGGTTGCAAATAGTTTGCGATTGCTATTTTGCGGTCGCAAAAAGTATTTGCCACCCCCACATTCGCAATCCCCATTTGCTGTTGCATGGGCCGTCACAAAAAGTCTTTTGCGACTGTATTTTAATTATTTGCGACAGTTTGTAATGGTCGCAAAAAGTATTTTTTTTAGTAGTGTGCGTAGTTATTGTAATTTATTTTTTGAGCCAATTTAGTCATTGCAATTCTAATTGTATCAATTCTATTTTTGAATTTACCCCTCCTTTAAAAAATTGAACTAAAATCAAATGACAAAATAGTTAAAGTAATGGAGTTGGCATCCAATTTCAAATGACTCATTTCTTTTTTGATGGATTATTTTGCTATTGATTTCTATTTGATTGCTTAACAATACCAATTGGACTAAACTTGCCACAATATGAAAATTAAAAGTAAATTTGATATAACTGAAACTAAAGAAACATATTGACACGAGTTAAATTAGGGAATGAGATCCTCTGTTTCAAATATTTGTAATTACACTGCCTAATTATTTTTAAATTTAAAATTAAAAATATGTAAAATTATGCAACTGTATAATACACACAAAAATCAAGTGCATGTATAGTGTTCATTTTCCAACTTTAAGCAATTTTGCATGTGCATGCAATGTCGTAATGCATTCTTACTCATAAAAGCACGTTTCTCAATATTTTCATTTTTTGAAATTCTCACGTGATAGGAAGATTTAGAAATAAAAGATCTGACCCAAGTTTAATGACATGAAATGCAAAATACCGCCTAATCCGCTAAAATCACACCGATCCGCATCAATTCGCACAGTTCTAACCGCTAACTGCAGTTTAAACTTTAAAACTTATAATTCGCCAACCGAACCGCTCCGCTCTGCTATAGTTAATACATATATATTTTTTAACCTCCAATGAAATATCAATGTAAAAATGAGTGTGAGAGATATTTAAGATATGAAATTTATTACAAATTAGTAGTTATATATATGAAACATATTATGTAAAATTACTTTGTGTTATATATCTAAAAAATATTATATAAATTAGTATTATATATTATGCAAATGTATGATAATTAGTTAGAATATTCTTCAATCCGTCAATAACCGCTCAAACCGCAATTTGTCAAACCGTAATTTGTCAATCCGCTAATCCGCCAACCCGCCATTCGGTTTGTAATTTTACCTTCAAACTGCCCGAACCGCACTGCGCACACCCCTAAGCACCATGATTTAATGCACATCTAAATTTGATAAAAAGAGAATAAAGAAATTAATAAAAAGTTTGAGAAAGATAAAGCAAAATACTAGAGCTGTTAGTATCAGCAATGCAAAAGTCTTGCAAAGTCTCAGCCGTTGCAAGGACGCATGCTCGTAACTCTCTGCAAGGAGAGGATCTGAACTCCAAAGGAATGGGAGCAAAAACTGATCATAGCTACCAAAGTCAATAACAGAGATTTGATCTCTATCTTGAAAATGCCGTTTTTTCAGTTTTTGTAACTAATAAAACTAAGAAATATTAGTGGTATGCATTCAAATGCAGAACTTGAGCTTGAGTGTGGAGATGTGAAAAGCAAACTGTAGCGACCATAATTTTCTTAAGTTTTGGATGATGGAATATTGATTGGGGTTTAGTCCTAATTTAATATTTAATTGTCCAAATTTTGGGGCGTGACACAAACATGGGTTGAGCTCTATCTATAGAGATAGGGAGAGTTGGATGATAAAGTTATTATTTTACTTGTCTTTAATTTTAATGATTTGCCGTCTTAGAAAACAAAAGAAATCTGCATAGGTACTCAACTTCCCCAATTGGCCACTTTTATTATTAGTAATAGTTGGTTTGGGATTCTCTATTCTTCTCTCCCGTAATACACAATTTTCTGTATTTAAAATTTTTATTTTGTGTATCCAATACACCATATTGACACGATAGTGTCTCGAAATTTTTGTTTTCCAAATTCCCACTATACTTGTCCGGTTGAGATTGTGTTAGATAGAGGGAAGCAGGAATTTTAGGTTGAGAAGATCTTCGTCTTTCTTATTTTCCTTCCTTGATCCATTTGCATGGACAAAGGATATGATAGGAATTCTACATGTTTGGTTGTTGGATAAAAGAGAGTGGATTAGACTTAGTCTTGTCCTTTTAGGACACTATTCTTGTGAAATATAATAAGTGGCATAGGATAAAAAAATGTATGAAACAAAATAATTAAGCATATAATAATTTCATTTAATGTCGTCCCTCTTAAGCATAGGATAGGAAAATATAGACTAGTTTTCACAATCCTCTCTTGTCTTGTGCGACTCATCATCCCACCGCTTATCCAAAAAAATAACTTTATTCTCCTTTTATCTTGTGTGCCAATTAAGCGTGATCTTCTTATGCATAACCACATAAATATAGAAAATATAGTGATTAACTCTTTAAAAAAAATTGTTAGATACACCTTGAAATTAAGTTAAACTTAGATCAAACAATAAAAATGAAGATAAACGGCAATGAGATTACAAAATTTTCTTCTATTTTTTTTTTTTGACAAAAAAGAAAGTCCTTAAAAAAGTTAAAGAACTTTTCTTGGGTTGAAGACAAGTCGGCTTAGTTTTTGAGTCACAAGGCAGAGATGATCACTTTTGCTGGCCTCATATGGTAAGTGGTTTTTTTAGTTAAAAAGTTATTAAAAAAATTAAAAAGTCAACAACTTATATAAAAAAGTTAAAAATTCTCATTTCTCTATATTTTTTGTACATCTTTTCGTTAAAAATCAAAAAATTATCCCAAATATACTAGTTTTTTTTTACATCATATTTTAGTTAAAAAACTAAAAAATTATTAAAAAAACATGTTCTCAAACGAGACCCGTTAGTTTTGCAATTGTTTTTGCATTCAATCTTTTTTTATAATTCATCACTTAGAAATTTAGTATTAGTTGGTAGAATAAAAATATTTTGAAAGTGATTGTGCCTGAGTTAAATCTGATTTAAATATTTTATATTGTTTAGTTCTTTATAAAATGGCAACAAAATTTTTATTTTTAAATACATATAATTTGTTTTTCTTTAACATTTTTCTTGTTGGAAATTAAAAAGTGTTACAATTTTAAAACATGAAGAAAAGCCCTTTGTACTTTTGCAAAACAGAAGCAGAATCCGAAATACAAAAATTTATTGTAGTAAACCAAACAACACTGTTCTAAAAAAACAAAACAATATTTATAAATAATAGAAATAAGGATTGAAATTGAAAAAATTGAAATTGTATAACTTACAGAAAATATATTGTAGAATAGGAAAACGGATGAATGATTAAGGCTATCATTTGACGCTATATCCTTGAGACAGAATTCATCCCTAGCACTGGTGTTTATGAATTTTTGAATGCCTATCACCTAAAATACATTGATCAATGCATACTGAAGAAGCACTTCTGTCGATGTGTTAAGTGAATCAACTGAGTTGAGCTGATTAATAAAGTTGTTAAAAATTTCATTGGATTATTTAGTGAGTTTTTATTAAATATACTTAAGTTTGGCTTATTTATTAGTCTAATTGAGTTGAGTTTGAATAACTTAAATTTTTATAATGTATATAGACTCATCAAATTATCAAGTAATAAGTGTTATTTATCTTTCCAGTCTAATTGAGTTGAGTTTGAATAACTTAAATTTTTATAATGTTTATAAACTCATCAAATTATCAAGTAATAAGTGTTCAAATTTAAATTGAAAATATGAAAGGTATAGGGCACTGGGCCATAAATTTAATTTTGAAACTTTGGGGGCAACAACTCCAAGCTTTAAGTTTTTAGGGCCATAAAAACAATAATAATTTAAAAGATCATATTATTTTAATCTATGTGTCCACTATTTCACCTATTTGTTCAGTGTCACTTATTATTTTTTTTATTCAAAAACTATTTAATTTGATTTTAAAAAAATAACAAAATTAAGCATTATATTTTTTATATAAAAATACCAAATATCAACACTTGTCATTTGATAGAAGGATTTCTAAATTAAAAACACAATAGAATATCTAAAATATTTTGGAATTAAAAATATAAACAGAATATCTAAACAAATTGAAAATATAAAGTCTTATAAATTACCAAGGGTGCTCGTAGTTTGGCTGTTCCATTACGGCTAAAGGAACTTCAAATCTGCCATCCGTCCAAAACTAGGTAGATTGAAAAAAATTAATTCACAACCGTCCGCTCGTTATCATGCATCCATAAAAAATGTGATCAATTTGATTTGGTTAATTTAAATGGATCGAAATATTTCGCTAAAACTTCATTTAACATTGAGTAGTATAATCTTTGTTTGGCATTGACTTTTTTAGCTGACTTTTTTATGTTACAACTTTTTTACTTTAACTTTTTTAGCCTTGTTTGGTTTGGCTTTTATGGTTTTGTTTTTACTTTTGTGAGAGAAAAAGTGTAATGATTATGGTTTGGATGTGACATTTTGTCTTATTGACTTATGTAGTCAATTTTGTCTTTTTATACTTTTTTAGACAAAAAAACCAAACGAAACTATAACTAATTTTTTATGTTTGAACTTTTTTAGCCTCGTTTGGTTTGGATTTTTTGAATTTTTTTACTTTTGTAAGAAAAAAGTATAATAATTATGAATTAGATGTGATATTTTTCTTATTAATTTATTTAATCTATTTATTATTTTGTGCTTTTTTAGCCCAAAAATAATAGCCAAACTAGAGTTGAGTATCCTAATTTTTTTGTTTTGGCTTTTATCTATCTTAAAAAATAAATAAATAAAAAATAATAATCTAACAAAGGGGGACTTAAGAAAATATTGACTTGACTTGTTATTTATTTATATTTTTTTTTTTGTAGAGGGGGATGAGCCTTTTGAACTCCTCGATGGAAAAAACCCTTTGAACGCAACCATTTTGCAGTCTGACCCTTTTTGTACCCAATTTGAACCATAGTTGCTTGTAAAAATTGTATTTAAACACCATAGTTGGGACTGGATCTGGAAGGTCCCCGATTGATTTCTCAGAAAATGGCCGACGCACAAGAGAAATATTTATCGTATTTCCCTGACGATTTCAAGAAATATATGTCCAAGGAACTCAACCGGTCGCATCCAAAGTTTTACGCCTGTCTTGGAGAATATTTCTATGGAGTGGTTTTCTGGAGCCGAGAAGACGACGAACCCCAACGTCCTTCTACTCTCCCCGACGGCGGTGAGTTACTCCTATCTCTCTTTCTTTATTTATTATGACTATTATTTTTAGATTTGAATATTTATTTATTTATTTTATAGTTTAGTCGTTTCAAGTCAATTTAAATCAATAATGTTACCTTGTTTTGAAATCAATCCTCTCCTGAAATTTGTTTGTTTTTATCAGATATTTCCAACTTAAACAAGACCATCAGAGATTTGCTTTACAGCATTATGAACCATTGGCCTGCTTGTCCGAGGCTAGTTCAATTTTGGGCACCCATAACAACAAAAGAGGGCCGGTCTTTTCTTACAACTCGAAACCAACCTTTCTGTCTAACATCATATTTTTATCGCTTTTATATTGAAGGACTTTGTGGGTATAGGATGATCTGTATGGATTCTAAATTTGACATTGATTTGGATGGGGGGAAGACTTGTGAACAACACCTTCCTGCCCGAGTGTTCATGCATCAATGCCGCGAATCCACTCCTAATGTGGAGTTTTACTCTATCACTGAGTATCCACAGCGTGACGATGCTCTACGTTGCGGAGTCCAACAATCTTTGGCTTTCCCAGTCTTTGAATCTTCTACCCAAAGGTGTGTTGGCGTAATTGAAGTAGTGACACCGTCGGTAGCCCCTAGTTTTTACGGCTATTTGCAGTGCGGAATACATGAAGATTTTGAGGTTAGTCCCCCACTCACTCACAAATTGGCATTTTCAATATCTTGTTAATATTGATTACTCATTACACTCTCTCTCTTAGAACATCTACAGTGGTGTGGTGTGTTTGTTTGTGTAATAAGTTGGTGGGGGTTTGCCTGTTCAAAGAGAAAAATAATGCTTTAACGCAAGTGTTAAACACTGTTAAATTTGTCATATGTTTGTTAACTATGCTCGGAGGGGTTAACACAAAAAAGAGTAAACCACATTCTCATTTTTCTAGATTGTAAGTGTTTTAAAACACTCATGTTTGGATGGCAAGAACAATTCAATGACGCATAATAAGAATCTTATGCAAAGTCTCTTTCATTTCGTTGTTTGGATGTGTTCTAAAATGAGAGTGCAATTCCTAGTTCGGTTCCCAAACTGGAATGACATTACTACACTAAGGTAGTGTTTTGTTGGTTGGAATGATTGTAGGCTTGAATAGAATGGCTAGTAATCTTTGGCTTTCCAATAAAATGACCATTCTCCTAAATTGGAGAATATGGTGATTTCATTTCCAAATTTGCAATGTATATTCTTTCCTTTTTGTCGAACCAACACATGATAATAGATATTACGACGGACTGAATTTTTTCCATTATAAAGTTTTTTATATGCATCCTTTTATTTGCAAAATATTATTCTACATTTCAAAGTTTATGAGATTCCTCAGTTGCATCTTTCCATTCCCCTGCAGAA